ATCCACGCCTCAGCAGTAACCCCAATGGCTCTCTGAAAGCTCTGCCAGGCCAGGGGAAACACTATCAGCTGTGGAATAGGCGTGTTGAAAAGGCTTTTCCACATCCAGACATGCCTGCAGGTGGTTTGCAAGATGCTGTCAGTGGCACTCGCTTCTCTGCACCCCAGCACATTCCATCGCAAAGGCTTATAATGGCCAAGAACACAGATTGCCTCCATCACCTGTCATGGAGCAGCAGTAAGTGATACACAAAAGCTGATCTTCATTGTAATATACCCAGACAGCACAATCCCTTGCAACTAAGAAGAAAAATAAATGAGCAGCAAGTACACCCTACCCTGGGGTAAACCAGCACAGCATCATTTATTTAGATTTTGAAAGGGATAATTGCACCTACCCTTGACTCTAAGTACCCGTGTGTAATGGAGCAGACAGCAAATGCAATTAAATTAAACGTCAACAGCATTAAACATCAGTTCTTAACTCTCAGCCTACCCTATCCATCAGCTCCCAAGCACCCTGAACTTCCTCCGGAGACCTCCAAGCCAGAGCTCTGCTCGCTGCTCCTCCCCACACTTCAGCAGGTGAATCCACCACCTGCAGCAGGAGAGGACCAGCCCTTTCTGTAGACCCAGCCCTTGAGGAAAGGACAAATAATTCCTTAACAGATGCTTAGCTGAAAAGAACCTGCAAAAACATGCATGAGAACCCCCTGATTTTTAGTTCTACGAGCCAAAGGACTTCTAACCCCTCCACACAAGCCTGCTGGTCTCGTAGGATGGGGAGAAGGTTGGGTTATTTAAAGGTGAGGAGCAAAGCTCACCTGTGCTCAGAGCAGCAGGCGTGTTCTTTCACAGCCTAAACACATGAATCCCTCGATGCAAGACAGACGATGGGGAAAAGCCCAGAGTGGCTGCTCCAGATGGTGGCTTCCTTCAGGAAGTGTTTACGAGGACCCCTGAATAGCTACCAGATCACCAACGTGCCAAGAGCAGCCATAACCTCCTCTGCCCAGCACCAGGCTTACGGTCCCCAAAAGCCACAACCAGGAGATGCTGAAAGGAAAAAAAAGAAACCCTTCAGAGAGCGGGCTGTGGCAAAACAGCTCTGCCCAACAGATGCAGACCAGCACTGGGAAGGCAGAAACTGCTCCAAACCCATTTTGTGCCTCACCACAAGCTGCTGCGAAGGCTGGGGCAGCCCCATGCCGTGCACGTCTGCCCGAGCCAGCATTGCCACGGGATGCTGCAGTGGGGGAACACCCTACAGTTGGTTCCTCAGCCTCTTTTAGTCCAACACAACCTGCTACAGCTTTTGGATCACAATTTTTTATTTCCCCCCCCCCCCAAGTTTCCCCAGTGACACAGGGCCAGCGGAGTGATCGCTGGGCTGCTGATGATCTCTGCAGCTCCAGGATGGCTGCCTCCTCGATGCACTCCCTGGCCACACTCCCCAGTACCGAACGCTGCTTGGATTCAACTCCCGCTCCCTTCCCACCATATGGTCTCTCCTCTCTTCCCCTCCCTCCTCGCTCAGGCGCCTTTCCCGTGGAAGCTTGCAGGGAAACACAGCCTCCTTCCCTCCCTCCCTCCCTCTGCTTTGCTCTGTAGGCACAGCTCTTTGTTTGGGGACACGGGGTGTCTCCTTGGCTGGTGTTAATTAGAACGGTCGTGTCAGCGCTTGCGGTACTGAGAGCCAGAGGGTACGGAGCTGGTGTTGCCTGGGACTGTTTGTATCCACCATCCTCTCTCAAATAGGATTTGGGCAACACTGGGCTCCCCAATTTTTAAGCAGGATGTTGTGCCATTTGGCAGCAGCACCTTCGGTGCGGGCAGGCTGCGGGGGGACCGGGCACATCGAGCGGGCACAGCCGCTCCCCACCACTTCATTTCTCCTCCTGCACTGAGCAGGGAGGGGGAAGGGAGGCATCAGCATATCTGCTAAATTAGGGCAAGTCCTACAGCACTGCCTGGCTGATCTGACAGCGGAGAAGAAAAGAGGAATACAAAAAAAAAAATAATTGTGGGAAACCACAGTGTTATGAAAAGAGAATCCCCAAATAGTTCTTTCCCCCCCCACCCCAAACAACTTGCTAAAAAATTCACATTCAGGTTTCCAAGGTCTCAAAGGAGAGGAGCCGTGTGTGCCCCAAGCTTGTGCAGAGCCACAATTAGTGCAAAAATCAACAGGGAGCTGGACTAAAGATGACATTAAAGCACTTCCACGCAGCATCCCCTCCCTCCCCACAGTCCGGGGGAGACCAACAGGTAGGGAAGAGGACTTGGGCGTGAGGGAGATGGATGAGACAGGATTACTGAGGATGCTTTGACAGCATCCCCTCCCTCCCCACGGTCCCACAGCCTGGGGGAGACCAACAGGTAGGGAAGAGGACTTGGGCGTGAGGGAGATGGATGAGACAGGATTACTGAGGATGCTTTGCCTGGCTGGTGAGCAAAGAGTGAGCGAGTGTGTGTGTGACAACGGCCAAGGCAGTTAAAAGACACTAAAAGAACCAACTCCCCCGTGTCCTTCAAGCCTGGAGTCTCCCAGGCCCTTACGCTCAAAATGGAAAGGAAGAATCAATTTCCTCCTCAGAGCTCAGCCTCTTTTCTTTCCTCTTTCCCACTCGTCCCCAAACGCTGCCCATTTCCCCCATTAAATTATTGCTGACAGAGCCCTTTAAATTACAAGGCAGGATCTTGCGCTGCCTAATCCACTTAACTCAACCCCAGCTGATTAAATTGGATGCCATATGGTGGGAGAGCAGTGGTTAATCCGCAGGGACGGGGACACACTTGACTCATTACCTGGAGTGCAGCACGGAGCCCCTCTCCCTACACGCCTCCGTGTTGCTGCGAGGGATGTGATCTGCAGGGTGCCCGTCTCCAGCAGGGACACCAGCTCTGCCAAGGTGGCAGTGCCATTAAATACAGCCCCAAGCAGCTTAAAGGCACGCAAATCGTCCCCTGCCCCTGCTGGCATCTGGCTGTTCCCCTGTCCCCCAGCTGGTGTAGTAAATATTCTGTCTCCCAAGGGCACTTTGGAAACTGGGGAAATGTGGTGCTTGGGAAAAAGGAGAAAAAAAATAATAATTAAAAAAAAATAAATAGGTGGAGGAGGTCTGTCTGTGGGGAAATGTGCCAATATCTTGATTGCATTGATAGCCAGGGATTGCAGCCCTCAGACCAGGTCACTGTGCAATGATGAGGATTATAATTAAAAAGGTCACAGCCTAGAATAACACCCTGCAATGCGGGCCACAGCTGGAGAGCACATTCCCCTGGCAGAGGGGAGACTCAAGGACACAGGACCAACACCTGGGGAGCCACTCAGGCACTGCTAGAGCTGCACAGAAAGAAACCTGGCCACCACCCAAACTGATAACACATCAGCACTTCCCACAGCACAGTGTTATCCGTCAGGAAAGCCCATCCCAAGCACCGACAGCCCTCCTCCCCGCGAGCACTCGTGTCCCAGGGGTCAGTGTGAGTCTCATTTTGTGATGTGCCATTTGAAGTACAAGAGATCCGTGGTTTTCCCAGGCTCACAACACATCCTAGGTATCCTGCCTCCCCTTCTTCTTGTCCTAGTGACCAAGTAGCACTTTTTCACAATCAACCCATGGCCAAAATAACTGCTGGAAAAAATTCTCTCAGCCCTAGCAGAACTTTTGCAAAACACACCGTTACCTGCAGACTAGAGAGGAGCATTACAGCGGGCTGAGAAAATGCCAGGGCAGGTCCCCTCACACACTGCAGGATTGCCACTCCTGAATTACCTAAAACTGCATGATGACCGTAACTGAGAGAGAAATAACACATATCGAGATTTGTTTCCTTACCTTTTAGAAGGCTTAAGGTCAGATTTTCAGTCTGCCACCGTAGGAGCTAAAAACTCACCTCTAAAAGCAGCAGGAAAAAAACAAACCCACACGATGATAGGAGGGGTCAGGCTTTAAGAAGACAACCAATTTCTGTGAAAGCAAGGGGCTGTTACCAGAGCCAGCTGTGCCTTTCCAGGCCCACAAACAGCATCACCTGAGATGCTCAAGCTTTGGCCAATACAGGACTCGGAGGGTCCTGGGGCTTTTTCTTTACCCAGGAGACAGCAAACCCACTATTTTAAGCCAACCACACTGTCAACATCTATTTTTCCACGCACTTCTCCTGAAGTTCAACTACTTCATGAGCTTCCTAAGGGCGTTTGGAGGTGGCAGAGAGTGGGTGTAAAGTGGTTTGTCCTCACCCTGGAGCTGCCCCAAGGAAAGAGCCACAGACCCAGCGCTGCTGGGGCGGCAGATGCGGGAGGTGATTCCAGCCCCCTCGGGCCACACGTGGTTTTATTACTCATGTCAGTCTATTAGCAGGTGATGGATGGAGGCTGACAGGGGAAGGCAAGGCACTCCCTTCATTAGAGATAATAATATAATTTATAGAGCATCCCCAAGGCCCTGCGGGGCTTTACCAACCCTCGCTCTCATTCTGACGGATGCTGAGCCCCTCTCAGCCCCACGGGTCTCGGCAATAGGGGATGGAGGTGCTGAAAACCTGCCCCAGCCAAGCCCTGTGGGCCTGATCCTGCCTACACAGCCTGTAATGCAGCACACAAGGGTTTTACAGCCCACCAGGTACCAAATCCTCATTGCATGGAGGAGCTGCAGATGTCCTGAGCTCAGCCTCCCCTTGCTCCTGCAGCCCAGCAAGGAGGAGGATGCCAGGTCCTGCATGTCCCATACACATCCATGCCAAAACCTGCCCCAATAAAACCAGCACTGTGCAAAGGTGCCGCTGCATTTGGTGTGGTGGCATCTGGGGACCCCACCACATCAATAAAACCAGCTCTGTGCAAAGGTGCTGCTGCGTTTGGTGTGGTGGCATCTGGGGACCCCACCACATCCCCCGGTGGGGCCACAGGAACTGCAGCAGCTTTGTCCCCTCTGCTTTTCATTCCCCTGGAGGAGCCACGGGAACTGCAGCAGCTTTGTCCCCTCTGCTTTTCAGACTTGCATTTGGCTGCGGAGCTGGGGAAGACGCTGCTGGAGCGCAATAAGGAGCTGGAGGACTCCCTGCAGCAGATGTACGCCACCAACGAGGAGCAAGTGCAGGAAATCGAGGTAGGGACACAGGAGGATGGTGGGGAAGGGGCACTTCCACCAGTGCCAACAGCTCAGGTACCAAGAGAAAGGAAGGGGATGGGAGTTAAAGTCCTTTCTGTGTGCGCCTGAAGTGGGGTGGATTATGGTCTGGTGAAGCCCATCCCAGTGCTGGAGAGTGTCCCTTTCCCCCACTAACTGGGATTTTTTTTCCCCCTTTTTGCATCCCCACCCCCTGCCCAGATGTGCACACCAGATTTCAGCTCTAGGTTGCATCTGGGGCACGTTTGGCCTTTCCCTGCCCATCTGCCAGCCTTCACACTCGCTTCTCTCTGCCCTGCTGCTGCTTTCCCTTGATTCCAGTTATTCATAATCACGTTTGTTCCCAGCTGGCCCCTCGGCACCCCCATAACACAGCCCCCTTTGTTAGAGGCATAAAATAGCTCTTTCTCCAAGAGCTGCAATCTAAACCACTGTTTCAAGCATCGTTTGGGGGCAGGGCAGTATTTCTAAGAGCCCACAGAACTAAGCTTAGAGGCTTAAACCTGCTGTGCCAGGAAGGTTTTCATCCACTGGCAAACTTCTAGGGATCTGTGAATTAAAAAAGATCAGAAACCCCCCGATTTAAAGAGGCACAGGGCAGAGAAGGGCTGTGAGATCACAAGAGCCTCATGCAAAGGCTACGGGGATGTGACAGCTGATGGCCAAGGAAACTGGTGGATGGATTTAGCCATCCCCACCAGCAGGATTTGGGATCTGGTCCCAGCTGAGGGTGAGCTCTTGGATAGATGCCCCTCTCCCAGGATGAAACCTTGCCATGACAGACTCACAGAAAGGGGTCTTTGAACAGGCAGAAACCACGAGGCTCCTCACATTTCACAGACTCAGAGTTTTAGCCTGAATTCCCAAGGAAATGCAGCTTCTGCAATCGATCTGTCAGACAATCCAGTAACCAACTGGCCAATTTCAGTCAGCTTTGGTGAAGGGTCACAGTCCCAGGGATATCGACTTTCTTTGGGTAGTGGGAATAAAAAAGCAGCTGAACAGAGAAAGACTGAGGTTAGTGCCCTTCAAAGAGGGCAGGGGAAGTTCAATCTGATTTTAGACACAAAAGTATTCACAGTGGGCAGGGCTATGAATATTTCTCCCGTGCAAGAAGGTTCAACCAGGCAGAGGATAAATCAGCCCTGAAATGCATTGTCAGAGGAAGGAAAGGCTGTAGGAATTTCTGCCTGTGAAACAACCTGGATTTGGGATGTGGAACGTTTCTGTTTCGCTTTTTCTCTCAGTACTTGACCAAGCAACTAGAGATGTTGCGGCAGATGAACGAACAGCATGCGAAAGTCTACGAGCAGCTGGACCTGACAGCACGGGACCTGGAGCTAGCTAACCAGAAGCTCGTGCTGGAAAGCAAGACATCCCAACAGAAGATACAGTGGTACGGCCTCCCCTCCTCCCGCCGCAGCGATGCTGTACCCGAGAGACCTTCATCTCACCTTTCCCCTGCCCCAAAGCGCGGCGTGTCCGTGCTATTTAAGCCATTCTCTTATCATTCCGGTTTTGCAGCCATTTACAACACGAGCTCGTTGCACTGACGATGATTAGCAGAGGTCAGCCCCAGCACAGACACCCCTGGGACAAGGGCTGGGTAAAGGAATGTCTGTAGCTGCCAGGAGAGAGGCACGGCAGCCTCTCCTCCTCCTCCTCCTCCTCTTCCCCCTTGGATGCGTTTCCTTGAAGCAGCAGCACATAATCATATCAGGGAGGTCCCCAGCACACAGCCCTGCAGAAACACTAGGCACAGATCCAGCTTTTAGCGAAACCCTGGCCAGCCCATGCTGAAACACCAGTTTGTCAATAACTATTTCTTTCCTAAAGCAGCCCCACGATCAAGGTCATCCCTGGAAACAACAGACTAAGCCATGTCCTTGCGATGTAGCATCTTTTGCAAACAACTGTGCGGAGCGGGCGTTTCGGAGCAGAGACTTTTACACACTGCATTCACAGCCAGAACAACCCCAAATCTCTGCCCAGCCTCTGTGTTTATCTCTGCAAGAGAAACAAGAGGAAGAGAGTAAATCGCTCACCTGCTTGCTTTTAGTGCAGAGATATTCCAGGGTGGTGCTTATGCTCCGGAGGTGGCTGTTTTAGCCAACTGATTTGAGGACAGAGGGTCTCAAATTAGTACAATCCCCTGCCACTGCTTCAATTCCCCACCATTTTCTACAAACAACCCCATCACTCAAGAGCAACAACGCAGAGAAAGACTAACCATTGCCATGAAAATGAACCACTGTCACGCTCCCAGAGCCAGCGACTGGAAGCACCTTCCATAGACTGGCTTTCTCTATAGGGGAAAAAACACCTTTCAAGGACCTGTAGTGCCTGACTCCTCATCCGTGCTCCCTCCTCTCTCCACAGCTTGACGGAAACGATCGAGGGGCTGCAGAACCAAGTGGAGGAGCTGCAGAAGCAGGTGGAGGAAATGCGGAGCTTGGAGCAGCTCCGCATTCGGCGGGAGAAGAGGGAACGGCGCCGAACCATCCACACCTTCCCCTGCCTTAAGGAGCTGTGCTCCAGCCCCAGGTACGGAGCCTCATCTTTAGCAACACCCCCCCACAACCTTCTCCCCCACCTCCTCTCCCCATGAACCAGGGATGGGGTGGGTTAGCCCCTCTGGGGGTGCACAAACCCCCCCCAAACACCCCCCAGCTGACATGCAGGCTCATGCATCAGAGCCTGAAGCTCAACGCTGGAGATGAATGGAGGACCTTCCTCTCTCCTACCTGCCTGCCTGAGCGGGTGGCGTTGGCAAAGCAGAGCCTTCATGATCTCAGCATCAGCTGGGATCCCTCGAATGGGGAGGGCAAGAATTTTTGCTTTTTCAGAGGGCAAGAATAGTTGCCCAGGAGGACATGGATGCCCAACGCAGCTGCACACGGACTGTCACGGACGGAGTGATTAACTTCACTAGGGGCCAGGCTGCAGGGGACAGGCATTGCTGGAGGGCTGGGGCTCTCCTGGCACACTGTCGCGGATGGAGTGATTAACTTCAGTAGTTAGACTGAAGCAGAGAAATATTTATTAAGGTGAAACAGTGATTTAACAAAACCAGTAGTGTGATAAAACCAGTGGTAAATGCGATAGTGTTTACAAGATTCGATGTCAGGGTACACTCTATTATTTACTGCACAGAGGACAGGGTCAGACAGAACTGTCAGGGAGACCCTCCCGTTGAGTCACGAGGTTCAGAAAGGACCCCCTGGCTTTCTAAACTCCTTCTCAGAGAGGAGTCTGGGTGCGGCTGGATCCAAACCTAGTCCCAGACTTGGTCAACAGTTTATGTCTAAAGGATTATATATGCACAATTAATCCTTTACATTACTTAGATAAAATTTCAAAGTTTAGCATGCTATTAGTCACTTACCGAGAATCTGTTGTGGCAAGGATTCCCTCAACCTCGAGGAGTAGAACCGGAAACTCTGTTGCGGCAAGAAATCTCTCAACCTCGAGGAGTAGAACCTTCAGTGAGCATCCTCACGAAATGGGAGATCCTGGCGTGCAGCCCGCTGCCATACAGGAGAGCTCAAAGGGGCTCTTGGGCTGTCCACTATTTATACAGTAAGATAATTGACCTATAGTCATATTTTCATGGCAACAAAATTTCTAGGTCCCCACTCCAGACAGTATTTTGACTATGCTGCCAGCCATCCCCCAGAGACCGGGTGCAAGTTATCACAGCTGCTGTTGTGATGGCCGTGGTGGCCAAGGCCGGGCAGGAGCCGAGAGGGAGGGGGGGGGCAAACCAGGGAGAGCACACGGCCACACTCCACCCCGTGACTATGGTCAATTTATCTTACCTTCACAGAGTGGTGGTGCAGTCACCTCTTGCCTCTGTGGCATAAATAGTATATTGATAGTTGTTTACGCTCAGAGTCACTATAAGCAGACAGTATAGCACTGCTATTTGTTATTTGCCAATTTGTATGTTTTGGGTGGTTGTAGTTGGGTTATTTGTTTGGTCAAGTACCAGATTTTTATATACAGCATAACTATAAGCATCAAACATATTAAAATTAGAATCAGCAAGATAACAACTGGGTGAAGCATACGATTAAACAGTCCCGTTGCTGTTGGTGACCATCCAAGAAGAATTTCCCACCAATGGTGTTTTCCATCCTTCCTCATTCTTTTGAAGACATGGTGTATCTCTTTTGTATCATGCTGAACAGCGATTAGAGTTTTGTGTCCATTGTTTAGGATTCATTCTAGCAGCTGAGATAGGTCATCGTGTTGTAGAAGTTTCTTCACCAATGTAAGATTCATTCCAATGGGGCTAGGTAACAAATCTCGAATCAGTATATAATTAGATTCTAGCCATTGATAAGACATAGCAGGAGCTGAATAATTAAAGTCACATCCTATAATTCTAGTAAAGTCACAAACACAAACATTTGAGTGATCACTTGTATCTATGGTAAGGTTATCTACAAATATAGTACTACAAAGGGTTCTGATACAAACACATCAACCATTATCTCCAGCTTCCCTTCCCAAACCAGCACAGCCCCTTTTCCCTTTGCAGCTCCCTCCCAGCACAGGATCAGTATCTCTGGCACACTAAGACCAGCTGGGATGGCTCATTTTTCCCTGTACCCCTCAAGAGCACCCATCACACCCCCAGATACGCCATGTGCTGCCCAACGCTGTGTGAACACCATTGCACACTTGATCCTCCTTAAAACCCAGCCATGGTGTGAATTCACTGACCTCGTGAGGGCATTCCTTGCTCAGCTTTGTCCGTAATTGAGGCTTCTTTAAATAGACACGCGATCGATAAACTTTGGTACTGAAAGCATCCCCTGCCAGAGGATGTGAACAAAAAGACACTTTTACTGCAGCAGCAAAGGGGATGTTATGAGGCCAGAACCTGACCCCCAGCAAAATCCACTTAATGTCTCTGTGGTTCTTCCCTCCCCCAGCCCCACTCTGCCCCCAGTGCCTCGGGAACCTCAGTTGGGTTTCCAGCTCCGCAGTTGGCTCTGAAGGTCAGGCTGCCCTTCGGTAACTTGGAACTATGTTCAATCCCCACCAGCACCACCAGCCATGCCTCCCAGGGGAGGCCACAGCGCTCGCTCTTTTCCAATCTGTTCTAAGCAGACAGGATGCCACGGGCACTTCATTGAGGAGGAAAATCTGATTTCCCGGCAGCAACACAAGGGAAGGGGGAAACTCTTGTTATCGCTTCCCAGGCAATGAAGAAGGGGTGACTCTGTCAGAAGCCTCTGCCTGTTCCCCTTTGCTTCTCCCACTCTCCCTGGAGCACCTCCCAGATACAGGACAGCAGAGCCTGTGCTTCTGGTTTTTGGCTGGTTGGGGTTTGGGGTTGTTGGTAGATGCAGTGAGTAGTTGGTGAACTCCATGACACAGTGAGTAGTTGGTGAACTCCAGCAGGAAAAGCTCAAAGCCTTCTACTTTCAGCTCAGACTGGTAGCACTTGAACACTCATCCTTGCTTCACTCCAACATTGGTGGCCTGTCTGTTAACCAGATGAATCTTTTACCTTTTAGAGTTTTGTTTCCCTCCTGTCTTTGATCACTGCTATCAAACGAGACTGCAGGTTCTCTAGCACAGAGCCTGGTCTCTGTGTCCAGAAGAGCCCCAGCCACACCTTGTGGTCTCCTGGCACACAGGAGGAGGCAAACCTCACTCCATGGGCTCAGGTCATCTCCTTTCTGGGCATCAGTGAAATTCCTTACACAACAATAAGACACAATGAGTCTCTCATGGATTGCCACTTGGTCAGACTCTTTCAAGGGTCCTTCTTCTCTTTCAGGTATGAGGACGCGTTCCAGGTCCACAGCTCTTCCACAGAGTTCAACCAGAAGCCACTAGAGAGGGAAAACGAGCGTCTCCAAGCCATGGTGAACTCCCTGAGGTCCCAAGTCAATCAGGAGAAGCAGCGGAAGGAGAGGGTTGAGCGAGAGTACACCTCTGTCATTCAGGAGTACTCGGACCTCGAGCAGCGAGTGTGCGAGATGGAGAACTGCAAACTGCGCATCAAGGAACTGGAAGCAGAGCTCCTAGAGCTACAACAGATGAAACAAGTCAAGAAGTATTTGCTCAGCAGAGAAGACAACTTGTCCGAGGCCCTCCTTGAGCCACTGAATAACGCCCCAGAAGCTGACTACATCGACCTCTCTGAGGAGGAGGGAGGGAAAAGCCACGGGCCCTCAATGACACCTTCCCCAAACCACCCTGTCCGGAAAAGCTGCAGTGACACGGCCCTCAATGCCATCGTGACCAAGGATGCCGTGAGCCGGCACGAGGGCAATTACACGCTGCACGCCAACAACGTGCGCAAGCGGGGCATGTCCATCCTGAGGGAAGTGGACGAGCAGTATCACGCCTTGCTGGAGAAGTACGAAGAGCTCCTGAGCAAATGCCGGCAGCACAAGGACAGTGTGCGCCACACAGGGGTCCAAACGTCCCGGCCCATCTCCCGCGACAGCTCCTTCAGAGACTTCCGAGGAGAGGGACACGAGTTGGAAGAGCGGAAAACCATGGAGAAGACCATCAGCAAACACGTGGAGGCGGTGGACAAGCGGCTGGAGCAGAGCCAGCCCGAGTACAAGGCTCTTTTTAAGGAGATCTTCTCCCGCATCCAAAAAACAAAAGCAGACATCAACGCCACGAAGGTGAAAAACAAGAGCAGCAAATGAGTTCCTGCCCCTTCCGCAAACTCCCACGTGCAATCGCAACAGCCAAGTCTTCTCCTCAGCCCCAGGAACCGCCACGTGGCCCCACTGCTTTGAAGGTTCGCGAGGTCTACAAGCAAGAAAACGTCACGGAGACTCAACTCACTTTTTTTTTTTTTAAAGCTTGGGCTCCGGACAACTCACTGGGACAATTGTACATTGTAGTTAGAGGATTTCAGAAACTGTATGATGGATCTCTGCATGAGTTGCTGCCGCTGCCAGACATCACAACAGCAACGTCAACCACACCACGAAAAAAGAAAACCAATCGCCTCCTCCACCCTTTTCAGCTTGTCTTACGGCCCAGTTATCTGCAAGCGAAAGCCTGGATGTCCTCCAGCGTCCTGCCACAGCTGGAGCACGGTGTTTTAAAGTAAAATGAAAAGCCATCAGAACTCCAGGGGCTGCTCCAGCACAGCAGCCCAACCCTCCACGTTGGTTTTATGGCTAAGAACCTACGCTTGTACCAGAGCGACGTTCTTCCCCACCTTCCCCAAAGGGCAGTATGTTCTTGCTGTTTAAGCCATTCTCTTATCAGTCAGGTTTTTCAGCTACTTACAATGCAAGCTCATTGCAACTGGAAAAACTTGAAGAGAAACTTAAAACTGATTGTTCTGTCTTCATCAGCGTCGCTTAGTATTTCAGTCCATACCCTCCAGACTTTTGTAGGCACATGGGATTTCCTCCCTTTAAGTCTGCCCCAGTATTTCAGCCCGGGTGAAGCACTGTGCCTGGTAGGAACCCGATGACCAGGGCTTTCCCAAAAGCTAGACAAGAAGTGCTATTACAGTATCAGAGACATGCTTTCATCTCACGGTCTGGGCACCAAACCTCTGTGCTGAGGGCTCTTCAAGAGGTTGCCATTGCCCTGTTGTAGCAAACCCCTCGAATACAGCTTGCATGGGCTTGCAGAGCTGGCTACCAGTGGCTTGCACGCAAGCAGAAGGACAAAGCACCACACACACGGAGCCAGGAGCCCTGGCCATGGCAGAAGCACTGACCACACATCACCCCACACTTTTGCTCTGAACATCTCCCCAGTCGAGAGGGCAGATCTCAGCTCTCTGCTGAAAATAAGCTTTCTGGGCTGAGGCACTGTCTCCAAAGGCTGTCACCTCTCCTGTTCCAGTTCACTTTCCAGCACTGAAATCTCCTCACCTTCGCTTCCACAGACATACAAACACACAGCCAAAAGGCCACGGCAGTCTCAGGAATCACCAGTTTCCATTTTTCATGGACTAGATGTTGACCATGAATGGTCAGACAGGCATTTTAGGCAGAGAAGCGGCATTTCATTACAGTTTAGGCACCACCCCGAGCACCGAGCCACCAGAAACGAGCAGTTCAGTGTAAGCTACCTATTCTGTACCGGCCTGGAGACAAACTTCAGGCCAGATTTGGATTCTGTTTTCACCAGTTTCCATCCCAAAAATCTTGGGGAAATGGCTGGGATTTTTGCAACAGTGAGATAAATAAACGAGAATCTGGCTTTGGAGGGGGAAGACTGTTAAAATCATAGAATCATAGAATTTCCCAGGCCGGAAGGGACCTCCAAGGGTCATCTAGTCCGACCTCCCCACAGTCAGCAGGGACACCCCCAACTAGACCAGGTAATTAACCTCCAAGTCCAGGGCCTTGACGTTACGAGGAGCTACCTTTATTTCACTTACCATGGAGTTAATGGAAAAATACCCTCCAAAATACCCTCTTTTGTTAAGCTGAGTACCACGGAGGTAAGCTGGCAAGGAGTGCAATGCCCAAATCACACCCGCTCAAGAGGTCTTCTCCTCAGCCCACCCACCACCAAGGCTCCGCTCTTCCACGCTCTGCATTTTCAGGTGCCCCATGGCCCCGAACTCGAGGACGGTCGGGAGCCATACGCACGGACTGTGGCTACCAGCTCTGTAACAGTATGGAGAACCTTCATGCCTTATTTATTTATAACGGAAAGCAGTTGTCTAATAAAATAAAATAAATAAAAATGAACAACAGCAGCAACAAAAGCGTCGTTGCTGATTTTGTCGGAGCATTCACCACCCTGTTAATTCAACTCTTGTGGCAGGGGGTGTCTGAAGCAGCGTTGGTTTAAGTCAGCTGGTGTTTACTGTCAGTCAGCTGGGTGCTGCAGAGGTGTGGGGAGAGGATCGCCTTCACTTTCCATTTTAAACAATCCTGCGTGAATCACCACCACAGTTAAGTGTACAGCAGATTAAATATATTTTCAAATGCCTTATTCTCTTCCTGAATAAAAAAGAAATACCAGGCTTCTCAAAGCCAAGACTTTCTTTACAGCTCTTTTTACTTTTAAGAACAGCAGAAGAGTTATTCATATGATTTTCACGTACGATTTGGGTCAAGAAAATGCTTCAGGCTCCTGTGCAGAAAGCAGAGAGAACGTGCCGAACTATACTGCTGCATTATTTATATAACATACATTTTATGCACTTGGACTACTAACATTGGCCACACGATAAAAACCCTTCTTTTGTCAGCTCTGAAGTCTCTGTAAAACCACGCAATTTCTAAGCTTGCAATTCAAATGCTATTTTTGTTTTGGCCTTTCTTGAAAACCCCACATCCAAAAGTGACTGATGTAAGAAACACGATATTAGTATTTGGCTTAACAAAGGAACAGCTGCTGTATATCAGCAGTTTGTTCAGCAAAGCGCTGAGGGCATTTTTCCTGCATCCAAAAATATTAGTGGCCGTATAAATACGTCCTGATGACTCTATGAGTCACAGTTGCTTCATTTTTTTTTCTTGAGTGAGGCTTTCAGCAATCAAAGGAGGGAAAAATAAGTATCTTCTGGCCTTTTATCCCACCTTCTATCTAAACTTTTCTAATTGCTTTGAAAACACCAAGGAAAACTCCATTAAGAGAGTATTAAGCAACCACACTGCTCACCACAGCAAATGGGCTAATAGAGAGCAGCAGCCACTTAATAGCTCACCCCCCTGATTTAAGACAGAAAGAAAAACACTGCATGCAATTAAAATGGATGAGGAAAAGTACACTATAATAAGAAATAATGATTGATTTCAGAATTTGGCAAAACCAATGACCCTATTCAGCTCACACCATTAAGATCAATAAGGGCAGAGCTCGTCAAGAATTCACTTTTATGCTGAATTTGAAAGGTGACACTGAGACAAGTGCATTTCCACCAGACCTAGTCTGGCTTCTTACTTAACCACCAGTTAGAATAATGCTTCAGAGATGCACCCATCCATAGGGATGGACCACTTGAAGCACAAATTGAAGGGGTTTATAGAGTTTGCACTCTCACAGAGGAGATCTCCTGATTCAGCAGTTTCCCCTCTCTTACAGGAGCTGAGACCTTCTGGAAGGTCTTTCAAAGCGCCAACTTGCTCCTACATTAATGGCTTGTGCCCTCACTCACACAGGGAGTGACCAGCTCCTTGGACACAGAGTCACAGAATGGTATGGGGTTGTTTATAGAGTTTGCACTCTCACAGAGGAGATCTCCTGATTCAGCAGTTTCCCCTCTCTTACAGGAGCTGAGACCTTCTGGAAGGTCTTTCAAAGCGCCAACTTGCTCCTACATTAATGGCTTGTGCCCTCACTCACACAGGGAGTGACCAGCTCCTTGGACACAGAGTCACAGAATGGTATGGGGTTGGAAGGGACCTCTGGAGATCATCTAGTCCAACCCCCTGCCAAAGCAGGTCCGCCCAGAGCAGGTTGCACAGGAATGTGTCCAGGTGGGTTTGAATGTTTCCAGAGAAGGAGACTCCACCTCATCAGCTTTTGCATCACATCTTAGGGATGGCTCCTTCCAGCTCTTGCCCACCAGTGACCACCATCACCAAATGGGGTGAGCTTGCTCTCTAAGCCAGATTCACTACTGAGGCGGGTCATGTCTCCACCTTAAGTGTCAAGAGCTTGGCTCTCCTTGGGTCATGCCAAAGACAGACCTTGTCACCCCAAGCCCTGCCTCCCAGGAAGAGCCGTTTCCAACCAGCCAAGCAGAGATCATTCTGTTTTGCATCACATCTTAGGGATGGCTCCTTCCAGCTCTTGCCCACCAGTGACCACCATCACCAAATGGGGTGAGCTTGCTCTCTAAGTCAGATTCACTACTGAGGCGGGTCATGTCTCCACCTTAAGTGTCAAGAGCTTGGCTCTCCTTGGGTCATGCCAAAGACAGACCTTGTCACCCCAAGCCCTGCCTCCCAGGAAGAGCCGTTTCCAACCAGCCAAGCAGAGATCATTCTGCTTTTACCAAGGCTCTTGGCATGTATCTGCAGCAGGTAACGCAGCAATGAAGCAAAACCAGAGAAGTGTCCTTTTAGAAGGGTCTGGCTTCAACTGTGTGACCTCCAAACTCCTTTCCCAGCCCCTCTGTGTGCCACACGCCGACACCATCCTTGGCGTGTTACCAGCACAACACCGATGTGTTTGACAACAGTTGGTAAAATGAGTCATTCTGCTTTGGATATTTTACCCATCCCTCTGGCTACAAATCACAAACATTTACCTGTTCCCTGTTAGAAATTAAGGTCACCAGATGGCACGATTTGTCTCTTGACAGTTCTGGTTTTTTTCCTTAAAGCATCTCGTTTTCAGCCGAGTTTGGTCAGGGAAGCAGAGCAGAACCCCAGGACATGGAGATTTGATTAAAACAAAGTGTAGAGCCCTCGTTGGCCTACAAGAGCTGCTCAGTTGCAGCCAGGACAGACGGACCATCAACGTACGAGACCTGCTCCTTTCCTGAGGACTGAGTTTCCTGATTTTACACTGATTATCTAGATGGGACCCAGCTCAGATCCTCAATCACACGTTGTCTTTCTATCGGCTTCGAAACATCCATTTTTAATTCACCCACAGTTTTAAACAAAAGATCGTCAGCTCCTGTCAAAACACCTGAGCTAATGACGGCCCCATCCCTGCCTGTGCATTTTCCTGCTGCCAGAAATAGCAGTCCCTGCCCCTCTCCAACGCACACCCTTCTTGTCAAGCCAACCTGACAGCTCCCACGGGAGTAAGAGCTGAAGGATTTCCACAAGTTCTTCACTCCCCTGTGTCCCCCTTTCACCTCAGCACCTCTTTTACAGACCTGAAAACACGTACGTACTGCTGTAACAGCATTAAAAAACCCATAATTATACATATATATTGTACATGTATATATAACTTTCTAGCACGCTCGAGCAGATAAAGATATGAACCATTCCCAGTGCAAAAATTAGAGAGTACATAAAAAATGCTGGCTGTATCTTCACTTTTACGTCCATCACCACTCAGCTGAGGAAGGCGTGGGGTGCAGGGGGGAGCACACTGTCCCCCACCACTGCCTGCGCCCTGAGGAGCTGCAAATGACCTACCCAAACCAACCCCTGGCACCTGCCCCCCAGGGCCTTCCACACGGGTCATCCCATGCCACTTCATGACCACCTCACCCCAGCGTCCTCGTCCCCAGCCATCCCACCAGCTCCCACAGCAGGACTTGCCTCAGCACCCCTCAGACCCCATAAACACTTCCCCAGACCTCCCACATCCCCTCACAGTGCCCTACAGACTCCATAAACACTCCCCTAGACCTCCCATATCTCCCCATGGTGCCCCTCAGACTCCATAAACCCTCCCCCAGACCTCCCACATCCCCCACACAGTGCCCCACAGACCTCCTCCATCTGCTCCACAGACTCTCCACCTACCCAGTGCTCATAACCTCCCAGCACCCCACAGACCTCATAGATCCATCCCCCCACACCTCCCACATCCCGCCAAGGTGCCCCTCAGACCTCATAAACACTCCCCCAGAACTCCCACATCACCCCATGGCGCCCCACATCCCCCCTCAGTTTTCCTACATCCCCCTACGGTGCCCCACAGACTCCGCACCCCACAGGCCTCCCATACGCACCCCATAGATCCCATCCATCCACACACACTCCACGTATTCCCCACACAGCCCATATATCCCCACCGCTCGCCCCACACACCCCCTCCGAGGCCCCGCCCCGGAACGCGGGGCCCGGCCGCCGTTTCCGTGGGGACGCCGAGGGCGAGGGCGCACGGCGGGAGCCAAGATGGCGGCGCACACACTGCGGGGCCTATGCCGGCCGCCGCTGGGGCATCTCGCCGCCCGCTTCTCGCAGCGGGCCGCCGCCGGGACCGAGTACCGGAGCGCCTACAGCCTGGACAAGCTGTACCCTCCACGGCGGGACGGGGACAAGGAGGGTACCGCCAGCGCCCCGGTGAGCGGGGCTGGGGGGGGGGAACAGGAAGACGAGCGAGGGGCGGGGCCTTAGCGCCTGAGTGACAGCGGGTGGGCGTGGCCAAGGGGCGGGGGTCCACTGTGGGCGGGCGTGGCTTAGCGCATTAGGTTATTATTGGAGTGGGCGGGGCTCAGCACAGGGGGCGGGCTCAACGCGGGTGGGCGGGGCTTAGGGTAATAGTCAGGTGCTGTGGTGGGCGGGGTCGATCGCAAGGGGTGGGGTTAACGCGGGTGGGCAGGGCTTAGCGCAATAGGCTGGTAGCGGAGTGGGCGGGGCTGACGAGAAGGGGCGGGGCTAGGCAGCCGCCGGGCCGGGCCTGTCCCCCCCGGGGGCGATCGGAGCCGGTTGGAAGCCCCCGGGGGGCGGCCCTGTCTCCCCCC